TTTGGATACGGACTCTCGTACACCACCTTTGCATACTCTGAATTATTAGTGTCAGCTGATCACATAAGGCCATGTGATAGTATAATTGTAACTGTAACACTAACCAACACTGGTAGCATGATAGGTGAAGAGGTTGTGCAGGTGTACCTCACTCCTCCATCATCCCTTCCTGATTATACTCCTAATGTACAGCTGGTTGGTTTTGCTAGGGTATCATTGAAACCGTCTGATATGGAACTCATTCATTTTTCTGTATCAGCATATTTGCTGTCGTTTGTTGATGACAAAGGTGAGAGGTTAATCTATCCAGGGAGCTACACCTTTAGTGTTGGTGGGGCATTACCGGGGAAGACTACAGCAGTTGGTGACATTACTATTGATACAGTATCATTTGATATTGATGGAGATGCTAGGCAGCCCGTTGCACTGTCTTCCTGCACTAATGATTACATTCCTAAATGTCTTGCTTGCTAATTGTGCTTCATTTTTTGCTAATAACATTTCTACATTGAAACAGAGCTCAGTACTTTCAATAATTCTGCAATGAGTGTTTAACTGTTTAAATTAGAATAATTAACCATTCAATTCAATTAAAATAATAAATTTAACCTAAAGTTTTATTTATTCATTTGGTGATAAGGTACAAGTCATTTTTACCTCTACTGGTGTCCTGGGTGCCAACATGGATGGTGTCAATTACTGATGAGTAATGATGTAAAGTGTCAGTTCAATAAATCAAGCAGCTGTAATTTCTCTACTCTGTTTAAGAGCTAAACAGTGTTGATAAAACTAAAATTTAAAATAAAGTTGTATTTTAATACTTTAACTGGTAAGAGGGATGGATTCCACTCTTGATCTCATTGCCTCATTTCAAAATCCCGGTTAGAGGCGGCGCGGTGATGTCATGTGCGCATGCGTAAAGTCACGTGTACCTTGATTTGAGGTCAAAAAATTTGACCAAAAATGGCTTCTCTCTTGCATCTAGCTTGTTTCTTATATTTTGTGGCATTTTCTACGGGTGCCTATCCTTCAGTTGACTGTGCCAGCTCACCACAGTCCTCTTATACATTCTGTGACACCAGCAAGTCCCCAGAGGAAAGAGCTACAGATCTGGTATCTCGTCTCACAACGGAAGAAATAATAGCTCAAACCTCCACCATAGCTCCAGCCATTTCTCGCCTAGGTATCAACGCTTACAACTGGCGCTCGAACTGTCTCCATGGATGGGCTAGCTCTGGTGGACACTGGACGAGTGGCTTGCATTGGACTGTATTCCCAGCTCCCATTAACTTAGGGGCATCTTTTGATCCAGAAATAGTTGAGCAAGTGGGATCAGCCACTTCAACTGAGGGTAGAGCATTGCATAATATAATGCTTGAAGCTGAGAAAGGTGACAGTACTGAAGCAGCTGGCCTTAAACTGTTCT